TAAATTATTGTCTTTCTTTCATTATTATTAATTTTTATTATTATTATGATTTTGTCCTACCTAATAGAATTCTTCCAAAGCCCAATCCAGTATTTTTAAAGCTAAAATTAAGACGGTTTTGTTTTAAAAGATTATCTCTCTCTTTTCTCCTTTTATTTATTTAACTTTTTTCTTTTCCTTTTTTATTTTTCAATTTTTTTTTTCCTCTCTCTCTCTCTCTCTCTCTCTCTCATTTTCTGTGTTTCTCTTCCTTGTCTCCAGTTTTACTACCTGGTCCTTCGCCAGATGTGTGCCTGTTAGCAGTGTTGTTGTTCAAGAACATCTTGTCCATGCCTTTGAGAGCTTCAGTCAGGTAGTTTTGAAGGGCCGTGAGGGCAGCGCAGATAGCGGGGGCCCCAAAGCCGTGAGTGATGAGGCTGAAGTGAGTCAAGCAGCTCTGAATGCCCGGTTCCAAAATAGGGGTGGGCCGGCTGTTTCCAATGGGTGTCCTGTCCTGGGCCAAGAGATCTGTAAATTCTTTACAAAGTTGCCTACACGGAAGAGAGAAAGGCAAAGAGAGGAAGAGAGAGACACAAAAGCGGTGGTTAGGCTCATCCCACGTTTCTCTGAGACAACCAAGGTTGAAGGAAGGGGCAGGTTCAGGCCAAAGCTGATCCCAAGCCCCAGGATGGGACCTTTTTGCCACCTTCCTTTCCCCCAAGAGTGCTTGGGGACTGGCCACGGTGAGCCAGCAGCTCCCTGCTCAGGATGATGTTCTTCAGAGGAGAGGTTTCTCTCCTGCAGTTGCAGGATAACCCGGGTCTGGAGATAGAAATCTCTCCAGCAGCCACACGGATGCTTCTGAAGCACTTTGAAAACCCAGCCCTGCTTGGTGGCTCTGGAAATAACCAGGCTGAAAGGGAGATGCACCATGGGTCTGCCAACCACCCGTCTTCTTGGAAGCCTGACCCTGGCTCAAAGCAGCTCCCAGTAATGCTGTTCCTGGAGGAAAGCACAACCCTGCACTGAGAGCTACTGGGTGGCACGGGGACACGTTGAAGGGAAGGGCCAAAATGGAGCCTCCTCTGAGACTGCCCAGGCTGGGCCACCTTGTTGAGAAAAATCAGGACTTTAGAACTCCATGCTGGCTTATTCATTGCATGAGAAGCAAAGCTGGCGTTTCTTATTTTATTTTGGGAGGTGGCATCCCAATTAACACATCAGAGTTGACATCTGGCTCTTGTTTGTTTGCCCACACTTTGAAAAATCAGATTTGATTTTCATAATTAATTCCCCCCACACATTTTCTTGTTTTGCATTGCTCTGGTCCAAAAGGCCTTCAAGTCAACAGGTGCCTGGGCAACGTGGGAACCCTGGGGGCTGGTGGGGTTCCCAAAGGAATAGTTTCTTTGAGACAGATGCCTACCCAGGGACTGGAGGAAAAAAAAAGGCCAGAATTTAAAAAAAAAAAAAAAAAAAAAAAGGAAAAAAAGAAAGAAAGAAAAAAAGAAGCCCTTAAAAAAGGCATTCAGCTCTCTTCCTCTGAAATTCTCTGAAATTCCCGGTGGGTTAAAGGTTTCAGAGGGTGGAGAAAGATAAAGGTCTACTTCTATGTGTATTATCCATTAAGAAAGTGCAAGAGAGGAAACTTTGAATTTGGAGAACAAACAGTAATGAGTCCAACATTTTACATCTTCAAAGAGCAAAGCAGGGTCTGCGAGCAATTAAAGTTCTGGGACATTAATATCTTCTGACCCTGCGGAAAAGGGCAATCAAATTCCAATCACGTCTAAAAAACATCTGGACAAATTTGAGCAAATGATTTTTCAACCCTCCATATATTTCTTTAAATTACACTGTCATCGGAGGCAAGCCACGTCCCAGAGCATGAAATAAATGAGAGCTGTTTGGGCTACTAGGTTTTTCTTTTTCTTTTCTTTCTTTTTTTTTTTTTCCCCCCAGATAGACAGCGATGTGTGGAGACACACAGCACCCACCAACAAGGACCTGAGCAAACTGTGAAGCACCCAGTTAGTAACCTGGGAGGCACAGCCAACTGTAAATTGTCCCATACAGCGCATCCACCGAGAAAGTCCCAAGGGAGGGAGATGGGTTGGGGGACCAAACCGAGGATCATTAGCAGTATGTGATGGTGGGGTTTCTTTCTACTTTTTTTTTTTTTTTTTAATTATTATTATTAATCCGTATGGGAAAGAAGTTGCAATTTGGTAGCAGACAAACAGGTGTGTGTGAGCAGCAGGAGGGACAGACAGACATGCTGTGGGAGCAAAATAGAGATTTTTGGGCCCCTTTCCATAAAGATTTTTTAACTGGGGGTGGCTTAGAAACGATGCACAGTAGCTGGGGGACAGCCGCCTACATCCTCTATAGGGACAGCGTGTGTTGGCAGAAACCCCACTGCGGAGGCTATAGGGTCTACCACAGGGCGATAAGAGCATCCTTCCTCCCCACGGGGCCGTTGTCATTTAGGGACTGGAAGTTCCGTCTGCTTTCAAAACGAGCTCAGAGGAAGGGTTTAAGGAGAGGAGGGGGATTTTCTCGGGGGAAGGCGGAAAGGGGGTAGTTCACTTTGCACTCACTTTGTAGCAAGCAGCATGTTTTTCCTGGAGTGGAGGTCGCTGGGGTCCGTGTGCTGTCTGTTCAGGTACTCAGAAACAGCTTTGGCTGGGAACTCCGTTTCGCAGATGTACCCAAAATCCCGAGCTAAATGAACGGCTTCACCTGGAGGGAATGAGAAGGGGCATTAACACCTCCGGGCACGGCCGGCCCCGGGCTGGGCTGGCTCCGACCTACCGAGGCACCGTGCGGCACCGGGCTGCTGCCCACCGCTCCCTCTGGGAGAGACCAGCTGGTTCGGGCCGTGTTTAGAAACCTTAGAACATCCCTTGCACCTTAGGGACAAGCCTCAGGTGTATGTTTTCCCTCCACAAGCCCTGTTCTGAGGGGCAGAAGGAAGTTGATGGGACAGAGTTTGAGCCGATGTAATTTGTCTTTGCGCTTGTGGTGGTACGTAGCCATGCAGCTGATTGTGCAGAACTGTGGGAGAAGTACACACACACACACACACACACACACGCTTTCAAATGAACTGGGCCAAAAAAATCCCGAAAAACCCCAACCAAACAAACAAGGGGAAACTTAAATCGCGAAAGACAGAAGGATCCCAACTTTCTTTGCGGCAGAGAAACCATTCCTGTTCCAATGTACCAGATCATCGTCCAAAATTTTACAGATGTGGACATAGCGTTAAGGTTAATGTCAATTCTTTGTAGGACATTATATACAGACTCGTTTATACACACACGGAGAGCACTTGCATCGTTATCACAATTATCGCCACATTTTGTAAAATGATGGAGATAACTGCATTTGGTCCGGTGGTAATTATTAATCTGCATTCTAACCGACCATCATGCAGTTGGAACTCCTCTCTGCCCGGTGGAAGGATACCAACTAATGGCAACCTTTTTCTGTGAAAAAATAATAATTATTCTAACTCTAATTCTAATTGTCCCTTTTCCTGCCTGCCTGGTTTCAGGTTTCTTGCCTCCAGAGGTTCGTGTCATCCAACTCCTACTGATGTACTTCACGCCACAAGAAGAAGACAGTAGCTGCAGAAAGGAGGAAAAGAGGGGGGAAGAAAAACACCCTCAGACTCTAGGGGGATTCCACCAGATTATAGCTCAGCCCCTCTAGAATAAAGCATTAAACCCTTTAAAGCACCGCCTGAGGGACCAGGGGGAAGATTTCCAACTCTCAAACCAGATATGTCTAATAACTCCAGGACCACATTATTTTTAACCATCAAGACTTGCTTTCCAACGTCATCTTCTGCTTTCTAAGGCTTCTCGGTAATCACCAAACCGCTTAATGAGAGCCAGGGTACCCGGCGGAGCCCGGGGAGCTCCCCCCGTGGTCACCCCACGCCGGGCAGGGTCCCCCCGGGCGCCGCTCGGGTAAATCCTGGCCGGGGCTGGCCGGAGCGTTTCTGTTCTGGGCGATACAACAGCAGCAAGGCTAAAACCTGGCTGGTGGCAGAAAAGAAGATAAATCTCCAGCAGGTGCAGCTTCTTCCAAAAGGAGGGTGCTCTCTCGAGGTAAACTGTTGATTTGTAAGGAAATCAGGGGAGAGGAGGGTAATGTACACCTTACTGCACACTCTGCACGGTTTTTAGCATCACTGTACAACCGCGCAGGCTTTTGAACCTCAAGCCAGCTTCGGGGAGGGGCTGATTCTGCTGGGAGCAGGGTGCGCAGGTTTTCCCACCCGCGGCGGAGTGAAACCCGCCGTTTCCCACCCGCTAACCCCGGTGTGAAAGGGCAGTTGTCACACCCGACGTGTTTCACGTCTCCTATAGAACGACCCTATATCCGTAACCTACAGTGCGTTTTGCACACTCGGCATAACCTATATGCGCGTAGCAGGGGGAGCTCGTTTCTATCAGCCCCCGTCTTTTTGGGAGCCTGCCTTCAGCTCTGCATGCGGTAAGGTCTTATCGCTCACGTAACTCAATCAAAAGAGTTGAAAAGTTAATATCTGGCGCAAATGTTTATGCATGCTAATATGCAGAAGAGATAAGTGGATTATTTATACGCCTCTCGGTGTGTATGTGTAATGTAGATACATATAATTCATAATTGCATCCATACTATTCCGCTTATGTTTTTTGGAGAAGGTCCAGCTTCTCTTAGCCTAAACACACACATATCCTAAACATATTAGTGGCTCTGAATTTTACTTTTCAATACAGTGTCAATAAATGAAAGAAACGCCCCGAACGCCAAAATGACGTTTAGTTGACTTGAAATGAGGTGAAACTTCGGTCTCCCCTTCCCTCTCTCCTTCCTCAGGAAGAGCTTGTCTCTTTGTTCAGTTCTAGCCACCTTCATGTAAACCGCGCTCTGCGACTCTTAAATTGCTCCGATTTTTTTTTTTTTTTAATAAATTCTGTATTATTTTTCCGCGTTGAGCGTCCTGTAGTGGCCGTCAATAAGCTCGGGAGGAGCGAATTAGCGGGAGGATGGAGTAGAGGTGGAGTTGGAGAGCACAGGCTGGCAACTAATAGTAAGGAGGAGTGGGACTGCCCTGCAGAATCACACACAAATACACACACACACAAATACACACACACACACAAATACACACACACACACGCACACATTCTTGCCATCCAGAGGAATCAATGACCCTCCGACCAGCGACTTCATTTTTGGGGATGGGATCCATCACCGTGCCGGTGTTCGTGCTATCCCGCCCTGAATTTCACCTCTGCAAGTTTTTCCCACCTGATCCCGAAAGTTTTTTAGGTTGGATGGGGTTTTTTGGGTTTGTTTTTTTTTTTTTTGGGGGGGGGGTTGGTAAAATGTCAGACAGGAGTTCAGAGCAGGCAGGGGTGTGAAGGGAGCTGCGACCCTCGGCTTACCTTCCACCAGGGAGGTGAGTAAAGTGACATTTGCGGCCTTACGCCTGCCGGCTGGTAAATTCAAACCGATTTTTTCTAGCCTTTCTCGCAAAGATCTCCCCCCGTTTTTCGATTTGGCTCTAGAATTGCAAAGAAATTAACATCGTGATTAACCCCGCAGCGTTCCTGGAAGAAACGTTTAGTGTGTTTCAATCAGTAGAGCCTGGGAGTGTTTCACTCGAGCTTAAAGACTTTGGGTGTGTTGGTTTCTGCTCGGTTTTGCTGAAATGTGCTTAATTTCTCCCAGGGGTGGGAGTAAGGATGAACCCACTTTTCTCCTTGGTTTATCCAGGGAAATCAAATAATGTCAGATAGCAATAATTAATGTACAGATTTCTGATCTAGAGAGCAAATGGGTTCCTGCTGTATGACACTAACTCGTGTTAAGATGGAGTGAGGAGATGGGCAGAAAGGTAGAATTAAAGAAAGGAAAATTAAATCCTCAATTATTTCAGGAAAGAGCCAGAATGGGAAAAAGAACGAGAAGGGGGAGGAAAAAAAAAAAAAAAAAAAAAAAAAGAAGAAGAAGCAAAACTGAAAGACTCGAATGGGTAATGTGTGTGCCTGTGGATAAATAGAACAAGAGGAAAATATTTATAAAAGTTCAGGAACCATTTCGTGCGTGTGTGTGAGCGTGTTCTTGCCCGGCAAGGCGATGCTGAGAGGAAGAGCTCACCTGAAGGCAGGGTGCGTTATATAGAGGGAACTGATTGCCTGAAGGAAGATTTGAATATCTGTCGGAGGTTACTGATAAGGACAATAAAAGGATGAGTGAGCTATAGGTGGGGGCAAATACAGAGCTATTGTTCGGACGCCTATACATATGTAAACCCCCCAGGGATGAAATCTTGCCACCTGCGAAATCAGTGAGAGTTTTGGCACCTAGGATCAGAGTCTATCCCAAATATCTCTTAGTTCCGACTGAAAATTTGTTTAAGAATTAGCAGTCACATTAGAGAAAGGAAGCCAGAAACGACAGAGAAGCCAGACTGGCTTCCCACTATTTTATATCAAGTAAATAGGGCTAGATGGCACAACTGCAAGAGTGCAGCTTTCTATAGTTCATCTGCTCTGAACCAAAAGCTTGTCTAAAATTTAGATTCAAGATAGGAACTGAAGTCAGCAGCAGCCACTGATTATGGCTTTGGGCATCTCCAGAAATCCACTGAAGTTCAATAATGATGTTTCTTTACCTTGATAATTATATTTTCTACAGTGCATCTCTCAGATGGTTCTCCCTGCTACATTTGCAGTTGTACAGAATGAGCAGGCAGGTTAGCGTCTGTAAGTAAAAATCTCTGCTGCTCTCACTGGCAAGGACCACAGCTAAACATTGATCACAGACATTCACGTGGAACAGCATCTATTTTAGGAGACCCTAATTCTCACGTGTATTTTTGGGTGACTGACTACATGTAGCAGCACTTTCCCCCTCCTCTCCAGACGTGGAGCTAGAGCCCCTGACATCATCACAGAATTTTTTGCATGGGAAAAAAAAAAAAAACAAAACCCACATCAAAACACAACCACCAAACAGCAACTTAATTTTAAAACACCTTAGAGTCAACGTTGCTCAGTTGCTGCTACAGGAGTTGGCAAGATATTTCCTCCTCTAAGATTAGCAACTTTTAAACATGATTTGAAACTTATTCAGGGCCAAATTCATTGAATTTGTTTCTGTCTCAAAGTTATGCTTTATCTTCCAGTCTGGCATATACCTCACATGTAGAAAATGAAGTCTTAGCCCCTCTCAGCTTTCCATGGGCTTGAGTGAACTGGTACCTCATACCAAAGGATGACTTCTTCCCTGTTCTGGCCAGAGAGCGAGCCTTAGCTCACCCTTCTTACAAAGAGGTCGTAATGACAATTCACAGTCCTTCAGTCACTGTCAAGAAGATAAAGGCCTTTCTCCTGTTAGCTCTGAGGTCATCAGCTGGAAAGACTTAAATTCTTGTTGCTGGTACCTAAATGCATGATTTCCTGCTTGATATGATGGAGTGGCAACCAGGTCTTGAGGTTATGCTTCTCTTTTTCCTCAGTATCAATAATGCCAACTATTTGGAGGTCTCCAGCAAAATCTACCAGGACTTTGGTGGGTGATTTGCACAAATGTTAAACAGCAAAAGCCTCAAGACCAACTGTGAGTAATTCCTCTAGCAACCTTCTCTACACCAAGCACTAAGTTTTTGGCTTTCAAAGCTACCTGTTGATGGCCTTTCTTTAGTCGGGCACTTACCTGCCTTATAAGTTACCTATTAATCCCCCACCAATTTCAATAATGTCCTTTGTGGCACCGTGTTAATTGCCTTATCAAGGAACCTCACGAACTTCTCTAGCAAATCCCTGGAAATACATCAGGTCCTGAAATACATCAGGTTCATCCTGCAACATCTAACTGCCACATGCTCATCACGGCATTTTATTTCGTCCGTGTGCTAAGAAATGTGAGGAGGAGGATGAGAAAAGATACAAAGCGTGCGCATGTACAAGAGTGAAAAAACTTCTTCTCTCAGTTCCTTCATTTTGGGATTCTTTGATAGAAACTGCACGAGGCCGAATCTTTCTCTAGCCTGCACACATTCATCTCAATATCTGAATACAGCCTATTTTCACCTTACCCTGAACGTTGCGCACACATGGTATGACACTAAGATCAATGAATATTTGCGATCATGTTTACCGTTGACCAAATATTTCTGGTGCATGCATGGATGCCCACACATGGGCGTGTTCATGCGCTTGCCCCAGCCTCTTACCTTCTAAGTACTCCTCCTAGGAGGGATGCGTTCAGACACTCTGGAGGAGAGAGGCGTCTTTGAACTTCTCCCACAGTTACTTTATACTTTGAAGTTGAACTAAGCAAAGACAAGCGGCCAGGTACAGAGCAAAACACCTCTCCGGTATTGACTGAAATTCCACCCAGGAAGCCATCTTTATTCATCATCAAAGAAGTAACAGATTTTGGAGGAACCGGAACTGGAGAAAGAAAAGGGGAAGAAGGGAGAGAGAAACCATCACGCCGTGAAGGAGTACAGGATAACCACAGTCTCTCTGACATGCACAGAACAGCAAAATGAAAGGGAATTTTGAATCTTTGGCTACCTCCAGCAACCTAAAGGGTGCTGCTCCCCCAACCTCTAGGAAACTGCTCCATGAATGATGGATGGAGAGACGGGTGGTGCAGTACAGCCTCTATGCAGGGTTTGATCATTGGGAAATAAAATACGTATTGGCAAGCACCTGGCAACTTTCGGGTTTGAGCCTGTGTCTCACCCAGAGCCCCCCGATGCCTTTTGTACAACGGACAGCGCCTTTCTGGAGGGAAAAAAAAGGAAATTTTACTTTTTTTTGCTAATGTTTCCATTACTGCTAAGCTGAGCCAGGAATAAATTCACTAGACGAAGGGAGTTGCTGTCTGAAATAAGTATCAAGGCTGGAGGATACAGCAACCAGAAGACAGCTCTGTTATTGCTTTGTGTTTTTATTAAGTCTGGTTTATGAAATAAAATGAGTCTTTTCCTTCAGAAAAATGAACATCAGAAAAAAAAGAAGAAAAAAAATCTGGTCTAACCATGATGTTTGCCGCTTTGATCATATTGTGCTGTCCGTGAAGTAGTGGGAACTCTCTCGCCCCTAAATAAAGCTGATCTAGTTACTGTAATATTTAAAGGAAGATGGGGGGGGGGGGGGGGGGGGGGGGAGCGACGGACGTATTCCAATTTTGTAATGGTTTGGGGGGGGGAAGAGAGGGGAAATAAAAACAAAACAACCAAGCAAACCTAAACAAAATAAAAACATGTTATTCTGTCCTCAATAAAACGAAATATTTCTTCTCTCTGAGAAACTAGTGAGGTTATTTCGAGAGCAACTAAGGGGATTATAACAAACAAATTCCTCTAATAGCAACCAGACTCAGATCAACAACAACCACCACCACCAATTGGCTAAAGTAAAACTGAGAGCAATTCCCCCCTGACGTGAATTTTGTTCACAAATGAACTTAAATAGCTCCCTCATAATTGTGTGTAACTGTTCTGATTTACAGCAGGTGCTCTAATCAATCAACCAATCGCTTTAATTTATAGGGAGCCTCGCTGCATTTCCCCAGTTGTTTCATTTCTGCAAGTAATTGATAACAAACCATACTTAAGGTATGTTTTATGCAGGAGTTAATAAGAGCTGACAGCTGCTACTGCTGCTTCCTCTCGGAATCGCGGCAAAACGCGTTTCCTTATAGAAAATACACTCCGAAATTGGGGGGGGGATGCTGGTGGTAGAGTCCTGCCCGTCCAGCGGGCATGTTTCAGAGGAGAAGACTAATTGATTACACACCCTCGTGGAGCAGATACTACTTCACAGGCTCCCATTTCCACTCAATCAATTGCAAAAACCAATTCGGCAAATAATAGGGTTCTATTATGCACATATGCCAGCTATTTAGGTACTTATAATACATGTCAGTTAAGTCATAAAAACCCTGTTTATTTGCAACATATCTGGAGAATCAAACCATTAGGGTTGAGGGGATATTTAAGTCGTCTGTAGCTGCTAAACAATAAGATCGGGTATCCTAATATATTACCAAGTGCTAACTACTGGGCAATTGCCAATTTTATAACCTCAGTGTATGGAATAGACACAACCGTGTTTCACTGTTTTTATTACAGATCATTTCCTACTGCCAGACCAGACCCCCACAATAAAAGCTCTATAACAGCTAAAAACCAAAAGGCATGTCGCTTTTAGATATACATATTGCTTCGTATGCCTTGTATATAGTCTCCAGTATAAACAAATTATTTTGAGTGGCTTTACTTCAGGGAATCGGAAAGTGAAATGGATTCCTATTTCTCTATTATTTTTAGTTAGGCACTTTATGCAGCTCATAAAGGCGGTTTCAAATAGTTTGAGAACGGCACAGAAACAGTTATAAAAGAGTTAGAGGCCCGCTCCTGCTTTCCTTGCTATTAACAGGAAATTTTTTTGCCATTGATTCTATAGGAAAGGACTCGTTTGGGGTATCAGAGCTAGTACTGGCAGATAAGAAAAAAAAAAAAAAATTCTTCCCCCTATTATACATAGATACATCACTTATTTTATGCACGATGTTCTGCAACGTCATTCCGATGAAGCATCAAGAAAAAAAAAAGTTTAAAAAAATAATTAAAAAAAGCTAGATTAAAGCAGTGCCACCAGACAGATTTTTCATGACTGGCATTTTTTTTTCTTCAGACAAACACATGGGCTCAGTGGTTCGAGTACACCTTTACAGTGGCTATATTTAGTGCCCAGTTTATCAGGTCACTGTCCAGTGAACTGAGAAATTAAACAAGAGGCAGCAATTCCACGAACATCTGATCTTAGTCCAAACTCACTAAAGAGAGAGGGACCCGTGCAATGCTTAAATATACCTCACCCCACTCGCTTTGGCCTTTCGGAGCACTCATTACATTAGTTAACCTTTGAAATATGGATTTTTCACGTGCTCACTACTTTTTACCTTGCAAATTGCTTTTGGGAAGCAGGCTGGCTCCCTTCCCAGCCGTGCTGAGAGCTCCTCAGCTTTTGTTCCTACCACTGCCTCCCCGAAAAGGACCACAGGAACATCCCCATCACTTGGAGTCTAATAACTCTAAACCCATTTTAGAAGCTTACCAGGCGGTGTAAGCATATCTATTGCGATTTCATAGCTTCAGAGAGATGTATTCTATCTAGACTCTATATCTTCTGTAAATTACCTAATGCTGCCTCAAAAAAAGTGTTTGCCATGGAATGAATTATCTCTATCTATATCATATCTATATGTTTATCATGGCTATAGCTTTTCAGATATAGCCCAGGCATTACCAGAGATAATATAACGTGGAGGTTTCAGTGAAAGAAGAGATATACACCTCCGTGTGTGCAACTGCATGTGTCAAATCCCTGCATGTATGTAAATAAACTGTAATGCAGAGTATATTTTTAGTCGATGTCAACTTTCCCAGTTGGTTCGGGGTTGCCATAACTGCTGAAATAGTACAGAACAACGCACACAGATATATGCAGCGTCCCCACCACTTCTGCTTTAACTTTATCCCATTTAGTTCTTGTTACCTCCAGCAGAAACTATTCGATTTTTTTTTTTCGTTCCCAAACTCTATTTGCTGTGTGTATGTGAGCACTCACAAATACATAATTTCCCCTTCCAAAATCTCTGCCTTCTCTCTTTTCTTTATTTCTCTCTCCCTATCTCCATTCCCTCTCTTTTTTTTTTCCCCTCTACTTCTTTCTCCTTTTCTATCTTTTTCTTTCTCTCCCTGTGGTTACTTCCAACCTCTTTGTCATTTCTCCCCCTTCCATTTCTCTTCAGCTTATCAATAAACCGGGAGAGCAACAGTAGCCGCTTGATTTGTTAGTAATTATAAGCACACTGTTCCTGCAAACGGGATCTCTAGATGAGTGAGATCGCTTTAAAACGACAGCAGGAAATGGTGGGGAAATGGAGCATGGCGAAACTCAGCGTGAAGCTTTCAGTTCTTTACATGTTTACAATTTTCTGTGCATACATTAAGTCTTAGGTTGGTTTTCTTTTCTTTTTTTTTTTTTTTCTTTTTTTTCTTCACCCCCTCCCGTGGTGGTGGAGGTTCTCTGTTGGGTTGCTCTCCACAAACGCGTGAAAAGGCACACCAACGCATACGGACAAGAGAAAATGGAAAGAAAAGGGCATTTGAGCGACACAATAAATAAATAAA